CGGCTACATGAGTTTTAAAACATCGGCATATCGGATATCGGCCAAAATCCCAATATCGTGCATCCCTAATTTTTTTAAAAAAAATGTATGCCAAGTTAAAACCTGAATATTTTTCCATGAACAAGGTTCAAACACCATTTTGTAAAAAACGGTATTTTCATAATTATGCAAAGATTTGGCAGTTATTATAGGCAGCCTGATTCAGAGTTTTAAATCTTGATTTAAGGTTTCAAGACTAACGCATTAAAGCTCAGTGCAACAATAAATATTCTTTAATACCGAGGCAAAATACATTAAGACAGAACTAGAAGGAACTAAGTAGTTTCTTCTGCAATATCTGGGGAAAGTCTTTTATCAGTTGTAGATAATTTTAATAGATGTTGATAGAATATATGAGAGCTCTTTTGCTTATAACTAGTTTACATGTTTCTATTTCTTGACTTGGATAGCATTTTGTCTTCACAGGCCTTTTTCTGTCAATGTTACTGAGTGGTTTCTCTTTCTTTGCGCCAGAGAGACCAATCAGAGGGCAGAGGGAATATGTTTAATACTTTAGGTGATCCTGTTACCTTTAGCTTTTCTTTCTCAATATCGTGCTGCTGAGAGTTTATTACAGATTGACCAAAGCTAAGGGGATTTGGAGTTTGTAGAATCAGCTGACAGGCTTAAGCTGTTGTTTGGGAGTTTGGCAAGGATTGAAAAAGTAATTAACAAAGAAAAAAAAACAGCTTGATGCCTTTCCAGGTTATAGAAAGCTGAGTTCAGTGTGTAAAGAAATAGTGAGTCATACACAAAGCAGGATGTTTATAGGATATTTATTATTGCTAAACATTAAACATGTGTGTGAAAAGTTGTGACCGCCATGATAGACTGCCCAAATTACCAGTAATGGTTTCATGTGGTTCTTAAAATTGAAGCCATTTGTTTTCTTGTCACAAATCAACTATGTTTTGCTTCCTCAAGCCTGTGCTTTTTACAAAGAGGGTGAATTATCATGAGAGGATTACCAAATGTGGGCATCCTTGTCTTTTATTAGATGCAGGGCTGATTATGGAGCCATTTCTGGACCTTTTCATCATTCATTCTTTTCACAGTTACTCCTTTTTCCATTTTTTGTCAGACTTTGGGCAAAAAAAGTACAATCTGAATCTTCTCCAACTCCAGCAAACTCTTCCTCTCTTCGATTCTTTGCATTTGTCTGTTTGTTGTTTTTGTTTTCTTCAGGTGAAAAGAAAGTTTTATGATTTCTATAAAGTTAGTATTTACAGACATCTGCTCTATGGGTTTTAGGTAGAGGTGGCTAGTCCATGTCCAGAAAGTAAAAACTCTCAACCTGTTCAGATAACCAGGTGATAACCAGTTTGTGGTGTAAAGCTGATCATGCAAATGGTTGGAACTAATCTCAGTTCAGGGTTTTCACTTTCTGGACCTGGATAATCCACCTCTGGTTTGAGGAAATTATCCTTGCACAGTTGGTGGTTGCTGGTTTGGGGATAAAAATGCAAAATCCTGGAACATAAATGGTAGTTAACTGTATTCTTTTCAATGAGCATGATAAGGCATGTAACGTAGAGCTCTAACAATATTTGATATCCTCCCGGAGTCGGACATTTACTGACTATCTATTGGGATGTGGACTGGGATAGCTGAACTTGTTTTCTAACATTTTTGTTCAGCTTTATAAAGTTGATCACAAAAAAGCCCCATTGCCAAGCTGCATTGTTGTACTGGGGAACTCTAAGCTGAATTCTGAAGGGTTAATCTTTGACCAAGTTGGGTTGACCAAGTTTTAAATTGTGCAAAAACAAACTTCTACATGCAATAAAAGGCAATTTTGCAAGTGAACTGCAGAGATGGGCTTTGCAGTAGATAACTTTTACACAACTGGGAAGGTCTGCTGTTTTTAGATGAAGAAATCGTGTTTGTGACAGGCTGTTTGGAAGTGGAAATAAAAGTAATAGGAAGTTCTAAACATTGAAATTTAAAGTAAGGATAATAGTTATAAAATAATAGTAGTTTGATTTTTTTTATTTACTCTGCATCTAAGTATCCCAAAGGGGAAACAAAAGTAAAAAGAAATGAAAAAGGAAAATTAGTTGAAGGTAAAAGATTAAATATCAATCATGAAACCAGGAAAGCTGATGACAAATATTTTATGACCGATATAAAGTGTCTATTTTTTATTAATTTAAAGGAAAGTCTTTTGATTAGATATCTGATTTGATATATGATCTGAACGTGTTTCTCATAACAACATGAGTTTTCCTAAACACGAGTTTGATCAATATTTTTGGGTCGCTGTAGGTTTTGTCGGCTCATTTTGTACTATTTCTGTTTTTTTCTCTCTCTATCTTGTCTGCAGTGTTGGCCGACAACCTGAAGTCCAACCCAGGGATAAAGTGGCAGTACTTCAGCTCAGATGAGGGCATCTTTACCGTCTTCCCTGCCCACAAGTTCCACTGCAAAGGAAACTACGAGCACCGCAGCCGGTAAACAGCTCCTACTGCTCTCCGTTAGAATTAGATTCTTTTTATCTATTTATTTATTGAGGCATGATTCCCTCAGATAACCTCTGCCAGCTCTGAACACATAACTGCTGGATCTAACAGGCTATGGTCCGCTTGTTGTCGCCTTCGTCTTCACCCCCACTCATGCACCCCCTCCCCCTCTGCTGGTTGCTGTAGGGCGGCCCAGAGGGCAGGCTCCCGCCATGCTGCCCTTCTACTTCAAAAAGTTTTGAGAAAAATCGAGTGAGGACCTGAAATACATTAGAAATGATGTTTTCCAGTCCTCGCTTGATGTTTCTCAAAACTTTTTGAATCAGAGACTTTACTCTTGGCTGTGGGGGAAAGCATGTTGTTTTGCCAGCTTCAGTTTTGAATCAGGCTTTGTGAAAGTCCCCACCCCCCATCCCCTCTTTACTTCTGGTAGGCTTATTGTCCAGCAGACCACACACAGTCTCTATCCATGTCCCATCCTGCTTCTAACATCGGCAACAAACAGCAGTTTTTAATATTTGTCACTTCAGGTTGAGCAGAAAATCGGGTTATAAATGCTTTTTACTACAGAACTGTTTATTGTGCTTCGCAGTACTTGATTAAGATTCTAGTTGAATTAATGTATCAGTGCACATCAAACACATTTAATCTGTGCTTACTAGAGCACATCCGTAATTTTCGCAGGTGCAAAGTCATACTATAAAATGAAATTGTCATGAAATGCTGAATTTTTTCAGATGTCTGCTTGTTTTTCATCAGCTGGAAAACAGAACCAACAAAATAAAAAAAACAATAGCTGCTTTAAAGAATCCCTTTGTTTGATAAATCTATGTGAGGCTAACTGTTTGATTTCAAATGAATCATATAAGAGATTTTTTGTTAGTCAACTACATATTTAAACATCTCTGTTAAGGACTTCTTGGTTCATAGCATTATTTCACTAATGCAGGAGCGGGGGAACCTTTTCTCTTTCAGGGGCCATTTTATGTTTTCAGAAAGACATTTGAGATTCATAAAACCATAGTTGTATTGGTTTCATATGTAAGGTCTCAAACATTTGTTGATTTCCTAGTTTTTTTCAAATCATAAAAAAGTGTAAAGAAATGTGTGACTACACACTGGCACAGCAAAGATGCTGCAGCACCATTGGTCAGAACAGCCTTCCTGACCTGGAACCTTGCTGGTCCGCCCTGCCTTCAAAGGTTTCTTTCCGGCTGCTCGGGGCCTGCCTCTGCCTGTAGGAGCCCAGGGTCACTCTGAGTTGATAAGAGCCTGAAAGATGCAGAGTTCATGTTTTCATCGCATTTTTCTCTCTTATATGTTGAAATATGGTGTATTATGAAATTCAGGCAGGATCGGGATGAGTCGGTAATAAAGATGCACACACAGAACACATACACTGTTTCTGCTAGAATTAGAATGTGTCGTTTTATTCCGCCACAGAAAACAGCAAAGCATGCACATCAATCAAGGCACAGTGCTGAATACAAATTATATTGTCTCAATACAATCTATATTGTCCCCCCACCGTGACACAAAGATCGGAGGGCCGGTCGATCCCGGCAGGGCAGCAACCCGGCCAGTTAGGCGTCCGTACGCAACCCTAGCAGACCCTCCCAGTGCCAACCGCCAACCGTCCTTTATGCCAAACTTCAAAGTAAAATCTTTCACCCAATCAGGAATAGCGATCGCTCCCTCTCACACCTTGAGCGCATGATTACAGAAACCAAAATATGGAACGTGCACCCCCCGCACCCACCCAGGGCTCTTGGATGGCCGAAACCAAAAACATTATTACATCATGGTCAGAGCATGGCACCGAGAGCTCGTGAGTACAAAAACAAATTATATCATGCTCTCAAGGAAACAGAAACTTAGATAATGAGAGTGCTTAGGTAATAAAAGTGCTTCACTTGTGATACAAAACTTGTATGATTGTCAAAGAACATAAAATATAAAACCGATATATATCATATGGAGATAAATATGTTTAAAGCTATGTTACAGTAAAGTGTGCTGGTGAGAATCCTGAATAGAAAAATTAATATTTGGTTTTATGAATCGATCTTAAGGAATCATTAAGAGAATCGAATCAGAATTAGAGCTTTTCTTTTTAACACATCCCAATCTTGTAAAGCATCAAATAAGCATAATGGTGATCTGTTTGACAATTGCTACATTAAACTCACTCACCTAATGTGATGGTTGATGCCGGTGGGGTTGGGGGTAAAGTTGGTAAAGTAGAATGTAGGTACTTGGTCCATCCACAGTCAGTGGTCAGACTTTTTCATGTGTTTTGTTGCAGGCCGGTGTACGTCTCTGCGGTTCGTCCTCAGTCTAAACACATAGTGGTGATGGTGGATCATGGCGCATCTGTAACGGACTCTCAGCTTCAGATCGCCCGCGACTCTGCGCTTGTCATCCTTAATTCCATTGATGAACATGATAAGGTTTGTTAAAGCAAATGTTTTGTTTTTTTTCTGCGTAGAAAATAATTATTTAGACATTTGTTAAAGATGTCAGGAAGTTGGAACCTTTTTTTTTTTTTAATCTTGTTCTTCTCCAGATCTCCATCCTCTCAGTCGCAGAGACAGTTCGCTCCTGTTCTCTGGACCCGTGCTATAAGAGTCTGCTGTCTCCGGCCACCAGCGAGACCAAGAGGAAGATGAACACCTTCATCTCTAACATTAAGGCATCTAATGGAGCGACCCAACATGCTGCTGGTTTCCAGAAGGCCTTCCAGCTGCTCCGTAACACCAGCAGTCTGAGCAAACAGAGCCCCAGTAAACATCCTAGCTTCTTCTCTTCTGTTCCAGGACATAACCTGAATCCTCCTATTGGTCAGTCTGATCAAATATGAACTCTTCTATGTTGTTCATTAGCTACAGATCTTGTCATCATCTACCTTTCGTCTGGTGTTACGTCTCGAGAGTCATCTGAGCTGGAGAAGAGAGCGACGCTCAGCGTGGTCCGAGAGGAGAACCGACACCTCAACAACTCCGTCATGATCCTCACCTACGCTCTAATGAACGGTGAGTGGATTAGAAATCGTTCCCTGATGCAGTGTTTGAGTCATGAAAAGCACACTTATTCTGCATCATTAAAAAATATGAAGTATTTTGTTCTGCAGCTTAGAATAAAATGAATTTGAGACAGAATCGACCTCCCCGCTCAGTAAGGTTTGCCCTAAAGTTGTTTGATGCATTGCAACCATCTGAGATGCTCTTACATCAGTTATTAATGAAGTTCAGTCAGTTATCTGGAACATTTTGTTACCCTACTGATAAGGTTCATTTTCTTTAAACCTCATCACTGTTTGTTAAATCCCAGGAAAAGACTGGAAGTTATAAACAAGATATCCATGTGTCGGTTTTTAGGTCTCTTTCCTTATTTTCCTTTTCTTTTCTAGTGTCTTTGTCTTTCCACCTGCCTCCTCTAATTCCCACCTCCCTCCTCGGGGCACACTAAACCCACCACCCCTTTCTGTGCATGCATTAGGCCACCATTAATACACATCACTTTTAGCATCGGAGAATGGAAATGAGGTAGATCTGAGAGAAGAGGAGCGCGAGACTTCAAAGAGCCGTGCTGCTGGCTGGACGTGTGTGACTGACAGAGGACCTTGGCTCTTTAAAGAGAGATGATGAAAAGGATGCAGAAATCTCTCGTTCTTATGCTGTATTAGCATTGCATATTCAAAAAAACATTTGTTTCATGGCTGATACTGCTGCAAGGGGGTGAAAGGCTGGGCGTGTGTGTGTGTGTGTGAGGGGGGTCTTTTTCGCTGCATCTCTTGCCAAATGTGAAGAGCTGATTGTTGAAGGAGATCAACAGTCTCGCTTGCACTACAACACACAGCTGTGTTGTGATAGGCTACAGGAGCTTAGTTTTCTTGGGGAACAGTTACTTTTTTTTTTTTTTTTTTTGCTTAAATCTTGATTAAATACTACAACAATGTACCATTAAGATAAACATTTTGGGGGGGATGCAGATCTTTCCTCTGAACCTGCCAGTTTTCCCCTGGAGGTCGTTTGACGCTGTCGCCCATGGCGAAATCGCCTCTAGTCTGCTGCCCAGTGTGGCGATCAAACTGAAACATCCCTGGCATTAGGAAAGGATCTCGCCTTAATCCATTTAGTGATTGGACGCTGGCAGGGCGCGCTGCTCTGTGTTTTTCAACGGGTTGTGCAATGCCAGCTGTTCCAGGTGACAGCTGTGGGGTCTTGTCATTCATCCATCCTGTAATTGACCTTGTTATGCTTGATAGATAAAGTCCAAAGGATGCTTTACTGTCTCTGTCTCATGTATCACTCCAAGTATTGACAGACTTATTTTTGACACGCCAACCTTTTTTGGACTTTTACATATTCAAAAAAAAACATGTTTTATTTGCTTTTCTGTGTCACAGAAAAAACAAAGGATTGTTTTTTAACTTTCTATATATAAGTCATAAAAGAGAGGCTCTCCACAGCATGATGCAGGCACCACCAGGTTTTACAGTGCGTGTTATGTTAAGGGTGTTGGTTTTCTGCAGAACATTGAGATTTAAATGTGGGTCAAAAAGGTCCTTTTTAGTGACCAGAAAGCCCGCCCTGCATTTTCCCCCACATGCAACTTGAATTTTCCAGTTTTTTATGGGTTTACAAACACACAAGAATTCATCTTGTACCTTCAGCTTCAACAATTCCAGCCAATCATGTTGCTGTATTACAGTTTAAGCTGGGACACTTAGCTGTGAGGTAAAGAAGATCTGCAGAACACGGAGCCAAAATGGAACAAACGATTCAGCACAGGAGGACACATCTGTTCCTCCTACTATCCCATCTGTTTGTAAGAATCCATGATTGTTCCAGGCTGCTGCTGTTTTACTTGCTAACATGATTGGCTAAAACCAAACTTTGGTGGGTGGGCTTTTGGTGTAACTTTATCTAGATTGGCTCAGAAAGTTGAGCTAAATGTCCCTCCTTTCCCTGAATAGATTCAACATGTTTGAACCAGAACCTAAGTCCACATTTCGTACAGCAAACATACAAATGTGAGCTGCTCTGACAGTTAGCAATCCTTGAATATGTATCGGGGATGTCCCTGAATTGATAATGATATCGGACATTGGTCTGATCATTAACAAACACTAATTATATAATCATGCACTTCAAATCTATGATATTCGCATGTTGCCTGTCTAAATGTAACCCATTTATGTAACCCATTGGTCAATATAATATGTCAACCACAACGACTTTTCTCTGCTTTTTGTCCACCACTACAATGTCCGGTTGGTTTGCTATTACCATTCGGTCCGTCTGTATCTAGAAGTCCCATAGGATCTTGGCTCGGTCATTCTCTACCACCTTTGTAGGGGTTTCACACTTTGACCTTGGGGTTTCCAGGCCATTATCTGCACAGATGTTCCTGTACACTATTGCAGGCACTTGGTTATGAGGCTCCATGTAAGCTTTCGCTGCTAGCATCTTACACCCTGCAGGTATGTGCTGGATTGTCTCAGGGGCCTCATTGCACAGTCTGCACCTGGTGTCTTGTCTGGTGTGGTCGATCTGGGCCTTTATTGCTCTGCTGCACAGGGCCTTCTCCTGTGCAACCATGATGAGGGCCTCTGTGGTGTCCTTAAGTCCAGCTTTGTCTAGCCATTGGTAGGATTTCCTGATACCCGCCACTTCGGTTATGATTCGGTGGTACATCCCGTGTAGGGGCTTATCCTCTCGTGACTGAGTCTCTGGCACCTCATCTTCTGTTCCCCATTTTCTGAGACATTCCCTGAGCATGTCTTCTTTAGGAGCATTGTCCTTGATGTATTTATGGATCTTGGATGTTTCATCCTGGATAGTGGCTCTCAGGCTCACTAGTCCTAGGCCTCCTTCCTTTTGGCTGGTGTACAGTCTCAGGGTCCTGGATTTAGTATGGTACCCTCCGTGCATGGTTAGGATCTTTTGTGTCTTAGTATCTCTTCCTTTGGCCAGCCTATGATTCCTGCAGGGTATCTGATTACTAGTAGAGCGTAGCTATTTATTGACCGAGACTTATTCTCACAATTGAGCTGGCTTCTTAGAACCTGCCTTACTCATTGGAGGTATTTGGTCGTAGCCACTTTCCTTGTCACCTCCATTTGCCATTTGCTTGTGGGATTCCGAGGTACTTGTAACTGTCCTCAATGTCCAGTGACTGCTATTGTTCCTTCTGGGAGTGAGAGCCCCTCTGTATGGACTACCTTCCCTTTCTTTGTCAACATCCGATCTCTCTCTCTCTCTCTCTCT